ACTAGCGACAGTGATATGCTTAGGGTGATGTAGTCAAGGGGAGGAATTCTACCCTGAATTTCTGATTCTGAAGTGTAGCTGCTCAAATGCTCTTTACTTCTGAACAAATTGGCTTTTTTCAAGCCAATATTTGAAAACATCTGATTCACATGAAGAACTTTCCTTTTCAAAATGACCTCAGTAGATGAGACAAGGCAATTCAAGGTGTAGGTGTTTCAAGAGCAAATGAGGATCCTAGGTAGTCTCACCCTATTTAATATGCATGGTACTCAACAGCTTACAAAATGATCTTTCTACTTTTTACTTGCTGAACACTTTATTTGTGGAGTATTAAGCCTGTGGATATAAAGTAAATAAAATACATGTTTTTACAAAAATTAAAATGAAAGGAAGGATTGAAGAAGGGAGGAAGGGAGGGAGGCATCCTTATGTTCTTAGACTTGTATCTTTGATGTACTTGAAATCTGTTCTCTTTGTGTTAATAAAAACACATTAAAAACAAAAACAATAAAATATCTCACACAGCTTACTTCATTTGGCCTCCATAATTGCTTCCAGAAATAGGTGATGCGGGGTTTATTATTTCCTCTTTACAGACGAAGCTCAGGGTCTAAGAGCTTTGCCAGTGACCACATAGTAGTGAGGGCAGGGCAGATTCTTGATCTCAGAACTTCATTTGCCAGGTCTAGAGCTATTTCTACTATCCTCAAAACTTGTAAATAAAACCTGCTATCACCCCTGAAATAAAAAAAAAATTAAGAAACAAAAGGTAGAGAAGAAAAAATGTTCAGGAGGTGAAACAAACACAGAAAAGACGAGAAACCAAGGGAGTTGGCTGAGGGTATGCAAACCAATCCAGACAAGGATGCATTGTCATTTTTTTCCAGCAGGTCGTCCCTCACCTTTTAGAGCATGACAAAGAGTAAGAGATGTTCAGAATGAGTGACCTGACTGTCTGTCCTTTGCTTCTTCCTGATGCCAACACTCCTGATACACGAGTGGTAGATGGCCAACACTGCCTACCCATCTCCTTTGTAGAAAAGGCATGTAGGTGTGACTTAGAGGCCAAATAGACCATGTGATGCGACCTCTGAGAAACTTCTTGGAAATATTTTCACCCTTCATAAAGATCAATGCAAAGGGAAAAACTTATTTTCTTGCTTTGTGGTGATGTCTGGAACTGTGGTACCAACTTTGGACCATAAAGGATGAAGTTTGAGAATGATAGAGAATACATAGAAGTGTCAGAGCAGAAAAATGAAAAAAGATATGCAGTTTTGATCATATTTTTAAAAGTTCATTAACTAATTTTGCAAACACTCTACCTCTAGAGATTGCTTTGCATGTTAAAAAATATCCTTAAACTCATTTTTGGCGAAGCCTCCCTTACCTAAGGCAAAAGGTACTCTAACAGATGCTCATAGAAATTGCCTGCATTCATTGGAGTCTTTGTCTAGGACTCTGGCACTGTGGGATTCTGCTAGTCTGTGTTAAGAAGGGCATTTAGCATTAACCTTACACAGTCAACAAGATCCTCCTCCAAGAACTGTGAAAGCTGGAATTATAACGTTGTAAAAATCATTTGTGGCAACAGTCTACTTCTTATCTCAGTGAATTGCTATTTCATAATAAATAAAGCCTTTTTCACATCAGCAATTACATTATAAAATATAAATTGCTTTCTTAATTTTGTTTATTAAAATGCTGTCAGATTTCAATAACGTTATGCTGTTCATATCACCTGGCTGACACACACTTTCACGTGTGCCTCTCTTTGTCTATATCTTCTGCAGCATTTTTGTTCTTACCTGGTTTACTCACATGGGGCAGGATTTAGTCCAACTACAGGAAGTTTTCTGATACATTTTAAATTTCTATGGTACATTAATCTAAGAAGCTTAAAGTTTCTTTGAATGCATGATATTATGTTTCCTTGCCACATTTCTCAGCAAGAAGAAAGGAGAAGGTGTTCTGTTTCTTCTTCAGTAGTGAAAGGAGACAACCAAAGAAATGAGGCCCACGGGATGCACAAAAAGGAGTGCTCAGATCTCCCAGTCTTATGAATAAATGCTCCATTCTTCATCAACTGCAAATGCCACAGTTGGAGGACAAAAGGCAAAAGGAAAAGGATACCTGATTTGTGGAAGCACCAGCCATTGCTGAGGATGTGATAACTGCAGTGTGTGTATGTTAGTGTTTGTACACACAAGGAATGGTTTCTGAAAGGTCCATCCTGTGAAGAAGCTCGCTGTCCTGGCATTGAGCTTGTACTTCCAGCTCAAAGCCTGCAGAATTCATTGATAACACAGAGTGAACTTGATCTGCTGCTTGTCTGAGGTGGAAAATTGTGCCATGTGCTCCTGAAGTGTTTTATGCATATGCTGGCTTTCTCAGTGTTTGAAAAGAAGAGCCATTTGAAAACTGTGAGCTTATTATAGTGCATGTGTGTGTGTATGTGTGTGTGTGTGTTGGGGAAGGCAAACCTGTAAGTATGTATGAAAAGGAGTTGCTATGACATGAAGCCAATGAACCAAACATGGGCTTTGGAGTAATAGGGATTGAAAGCTTATGAGTAGGCCTCATGGAAAATAATTTCTTTTTTTAAAAGATTTATTTATTTATTTGAAAGAGTTACAGAGAGAGAGGTCTTCCATCTGCTGGTTCACTCCCCAGATGGCCACAACAGCTAGAGCCGTGCTGATCCGAAGCCAGGATCCAGGAGCTTCTTCCAGGTCTCCCACGTGGGTGCAGGGGTTCAAGGACTTGGGCCATCTTCTGCTGTTTTCCTAGGCCATAGCAGAGAGCTGGACTGGAAGAGGAGCAGTTGGTATAGAACTGACGCCCATATGGGATGCCGGCGCTTCAGGCCGGGGCTTTAACCTGCTGCTCCACAGCACGAACCCCATGGAAAATAATTTCTCCTTTTCTTCTACTTGGCCTTTGAGTGTGTGGCTTTCTTGAAACTTAGAAGCCATGCTCCTTGTCTTGTCTTCAGTGACTAATGATATTGTTGCAAATGTCAGGTCTACAACAAGCTCAGTTTCATTGTAGCAAGTGGAAGACTGATAAGAAAGAGTGAAGAGTCACTAATAGAATCAGCAAGAAAACATGACAAGGTGCGTATTACAAGGCAATTACATGCATCTCAAGGGCATTCACTAGACTCCGTACTGACTTTAACAACCTGAGAATCTACTTGCCCTTTTCATTTGCTGTGTTATGTCCAGGTAATGAAAATATTGGGAAAGTTATTGTAGCCATAAAATTGCAGCAGAGTTCCTTTTTGAAAGAATAAAGTTTGATCCCTAATTCAACTTGGAAAATGGTTCATTATGCTGTGATTCAAAGGAAGAATAAAGCCAAGATAGTGGGCAGGGACTATTTCATGTTGTCTGGGTTATTCAGCACCAAGCCATCTGGCACTAGCTCAGAATGGGTGAATTTTTTTTACATTGCTGCATTAGATCAGTTTTCAGAAAGCCTCTAAATGGGCTGGCATTGTGGTGCAGTGGGTTAAGCCATCATCTGCTATGCCAGTGTCCCGTATGAGTGATGGTGTGAGTCCTGGCTGCTACACTTCCCATCTAGTTCCCTGGTAATGTGCCTGAGATAATAGCAGAACATGACCCGAGTACTTGGACCTCTGATATACCTGTGAGGAACCTAGATGGAGTTCTAGGTTCCTGGCTTTGGCTTGCCCCTTCCTGGGCCATTGTGGCCATTTGGGGATGAAAGATCTTTCTGGCTCTGTCTCTCTGTGCAATTCTGCCTTTCAAATAAACAAAGTAAATCTTAAAAGGAAAGGGAGTCTCTTAAGACCCCTCACCAGTTACAAACTTATTGATGCTACTTCTGAGAGACCTTGGAAAGGCTTTCCTAAATTAGATAAAAAAAATTCAAAGATTATCAAATGTAGTCACCAAAAATGATCCACACAAGTAGACCATCCAATTTGTCAAGCAAATTCTGTATTCTAAGGTCTCTTTTTTGCTCCTGCTCAGATGTATGCCTTGGAGTGATGCTGCTCCTCGGAATCGCCTGTCATTGACTCCCTGGGGAAGAATGTGAACTGTCTGATGGGGCGAACTTGAGCTGTCTCTCCTCTATGGTTCAGTAGCACCTTTTTTTTACATATGTCTATTTTAAGACATGTCACATTTGTCCAGAGAAAGCAGTATGGATATGAATTTGTTATTCTAAGGGGGAGAGAATGGAAACAGGGTGTGCTAAAGATAAAATCTCAGTGAACAGGCATTTAGGTGGTGGGAGGCAGAAGCAAATCCAGGTAAAGGGAGAAAGACGGGACAGTCAGCGAGCAGGAATGCAGTCAGTGAGGGCTGGGTTTCATCAGATTGTCAGGTGCTTTTAGGATATCAAAGTCCATTGCTGACAGCAGAGGGTATGATCATTAGTGCTCCCTCATTCATCTCAATGTCCTAATCCTCTTTTTGTGGGAACTCTTGAGTTTTCTGAAAAAGAAATGGAATTGTTTAAATAGGACAGCAGTTTCTAATTAAGGCAGACATGGAACAGAAAGAGTATCATTCCCACTGATTGATCCTAGGTGAAGTGATGGTGGCTGCTGATGGGAAGTTCTCACTGGAAAGCAGTAAGTAGGGTGGTGATGTGTGGTGCTCATTAGAATGAAAACTGGGTGGTCTGGGGCCTGGGCAGGCTCACACATGCATCCCTCAGGCTGATAGAAGGTTATGGCACTGGATATAACTCTCTTCCTGCCTGCTTGCATCTCTGGTGTCGTGCCCTCCCTGTTCCCCATTATGGGCCTGCTGTGGTTTGAATATGGCCCCAAAGTTCATGTGTTGAAAACTTAATCTCCAAGAAAACAGTGTCGAGAAATGGGGCCTTTAAGAGGTGGTTACGTACCCAGGGCTCTGTCCTCGTAAGCTGTTATTATTTTGAGTGGGCTTGTTATTGTGAGAGCGGTCCTGTTATAAAATTGAGTTTGACTTCCTTTCCTTCTCTTGTCCTCTACCTTCCTCCACAGGACAAAGCACAGAAGCCCTGACAGATGTGGACTCCTCAAAGTTGGGTTTCCAGCCTCCAGAACTGTAAGAAATACATCTATTTTCTTTACAAATTCCTAGTCTTAGCTATTCTAACAACACAAAATGGACCAAGACCAGATCTTACTTTTATTCACTGTCACTTCTCTTTCTGCCTTACACAGTTCAGAAGCTTTCGTCGAGGGTGGGAGAAATAATGACTTTCCCATTCACAAATCCTTTTAATTACTTTTGTTGTATATCTGGAAATTTGCTTTGGAAATTCTAAAACCAGGAATATAATTTTCTTAGTTTCTGGCCTTACTGTGATAAAGAGAGAGATGTTCTCTGTCTAGGAAGAGCAAATGCTAGAAGAATAAATTGATCAGTGTGTGAAAATACTATGGAAGACACCAGAATTGTACAAAATTGTGGGTGCAAAGGAAGGGGGAAGTTTTAAGACTGAAAGTGTGATAAACATGACAAATGTTCCCACAGAGTTAAGGTAAAATGAATTAAAATGTGGTTTTGCCAACCAATGACAATTGACATTGATGTATCATTAGTCCAAAGGGACTGAAGCAAATTTCAGAGAGCTGGCAAGGAAAGGGGATGAAGAGACAGAGATAAGCTCTTTGCATTTTAGAGGACCAGATACTCTGGTGAGCTTCATCAAATACAGGAAGGTCCTGGAAAAACAATGACAGCAAGCACTTTTCAATGCATTGCTGATTTTATCACCAAATGTGGAAGTTCCGAAGGGTGGAAGTGACAAGCGGTGAGCAACACCTCTGTTTGTGTTCCTACAGATCATTCATGCATTGGAGCATTCACATAGTGGTGATGACCTATCACTACGTCATATCATATTATATCTGTGATGTGAATGTCACTTTCTAAGGTTTTCTTTTTTTAATTAGTTAATACTATTTTTAAGAAAGCTTTTATTTAATGAATACAGAAATACAGGTACAGCTAAGGAATATAGTGGTCCTTCCCCCTAAACTCCCCCTCCCATCTCACCTCCTACTCCGTTTCCCATCCCATTCTTCATTAAGATTCACTTTTAATTAACTTTATATACAGAAGACCAACTCTATACTAAGTAAAGATTTCAACAATTTGCACCCTCCCCCCCCACACAAAGTATTAAGTACTGTCTGAGAACAAGTTTTACAGTTAATTCTCATAGTACAACTCATTAAGGACTGAGGTCCCACATGAGGAGTAAGTGCACAGTGACTCCTGTTGTTCATTTTACAATTAAAACTCTTATTTATGATGTCAGTGATCACCCGAGACTCTTGACATGAGCCGCCAAAGCTATGGAAGTCTTTTGAATTCACAAACTTCGCCAGTATTTAGACAGGGCCATAAGCAAAGTGGAAGTTCTGTTCCCCCCTTCAGAGAAAAGTACCTCCTTCTTTGATGGTCCCTTCTTTCCACTGGGGTCTCACTCACAGAGATCCTTCATATAGAACATTTTTTTTTTGCCATGGTGTCTTGGCTTTCCATGCCTGAAATGCTCTCATGGGCTTTTTAGCCAGATCCAAATGCCTTAAGGGCTGATTCTGAGGTACGAGTGCTGTTTAGGGAGGTCATCATTCTATGAGTCTGACTGCTTCCCATGTTGGAACATTCTCACCTTTTTAATTCTATCTATAGTTATTACCAGACATTGGCCTTATTTATTTGATCCCTTTGACACTTATTCCTATCTATATGATCAATAACACACTTAATATGATCACTTTAGCAAATAAGACAGCATTAGTACCACCCAGCTTAATGGGATTTGGAGTCCCATGGAAAGTTTTTAGCATTACCCTCAGGGGTAAGTCCATGGGAATGTGTACTGGAACTGACAGCTTCTCCCTCTCTTATTTCCACTCTTATTTTTTTTTACTGGAATCCGTTTTTTTTTTTTAACTTTGATCAATTTTTAATTGACTTTATACACCTATGATTAAATCTATGCTAAGTAAAGAATTCAACCAATGGTATTAAGAAGCAAAAGAAAATAAAAAGTAAAATAATAAATTGTTCCTCGACACTCAAGATAAGGGCTGTTCAAGTCATTGCTATTCATAGTGTGTATTTCACTTCCACAGGTTTCCTTTTATTTAATGAGTAAAATTATATATATAATTATATATATATATAAAATTATATATATATATTTTTGTGACATAAGAAAAATAATGAGTTTAATGATTCCAACGATGCAGCACGAACACTGTAGTAGTTGATACCAGGACATGGTCTGTGACAGCAAGGAGGGACTACTCCATGCTGTCCAAGGTCCCCCGAGGTGGAGAGAATGATTGGCATGGACAGAGTCCAGGACAAGCCCAGGCAGGTGTCCGGAGCCCGGGAAGTCCCGGATGCTACATCTCTACGCCGGTTCCAAGAGGAAGTGCTTCCCACGTGCAGGGAGAGACACCCACCTGGCCTCACTTGCTGCAGGGACGGCTGGGGCCACACACCCCTGCCCATTCACACCAGCTCCTCCCCTTCCGGAGGTCACCGGGCGACAGCGCAGGGCCGCGCACGAGAGGGCGGCCCTCCCCGTGGACCCGTCTCTTTTAGGTGCTCTGTTAGTTGTCACAGGTCAGGGAGAACACTTGGTATTTGTCCTTTGGGACTGGCTTATTTCACTAAGTATAATGTTTTCCAGATTCATCCATTTTGTTGCAAACGACCAGATTTCTTTGCAAATGACTGCATTTCATTTTTTTTTTTTTACCACTCTGTAGTTTCCATAGAGTACATATCCCATAGTTTCTTTATCCAGTCTTCCATTGATGGGCATTTAGGTTGTCCATGTATTAGCTATTGTAAATTGAGCTGTAATAAACATGGAAGTGCAGATAATTCCTTTATTTGCTGATTTCATTTCCCTTGGGTAAAATCCAAGTAGTGGATGGCTGGGTCAGGTGGTAGAACTATATTCAGTTTCTGAGGTGTCTCCAAACTGTCTTCCACAGTGATCTTACCAGTTTGCATTCCCACCAACAGTGGATTAGGGTACCTTTTCCCCCACATCCTTGCCAACATTTGTTGCTTGTTGATTTCTGTATGAAAGCCATTTTAACTGGAGTGAGGTTAAACCTTATTGTGGTTTTGATATGCATTTCCCTGACAGCTAGTGATCCTGAGCATTTTTTTCATGTGTCTGTTGGCCATTTGGATTTCTTCTTTAGGGAAATGTCTGTTTAAGTCCTTTGCCCATTTCTTGACTGGGCCATTTGTTTTGTTGTTGTGGAGTTTCTTGATCACTTTATATATTCTGACATATTCTGGTTACTAATGCTTTATAAGTTGCACAGTTTGCAAATGATTTCTCTCATTCTGTTGGTTGCCTCTTTACTTTCCTGAGTGTTTCTTTTGCTGTAAGAAGCTTCTCAATTTGCTATAATCTCATTTGTTAATTTTGGCTTTTATTACCTTTGCCTCTGGGGTCTTTTCCAGGAATTCTTTGTCTCTGCCAGTGTCTTTCAGGTTTTCCCCAATGCTCTCTAGTAATTTGATGATATCGAGTCATAGATTTAGGTCTTTAATCCATGTTGGATGGATTTTTGTGTAAGGTATAAGGTAGGGGGTCCTGCTTCATACTTCTGTATGTGGAAATCCATTTTTACCTGCACCATTTGTTGAAGAGACTGTCCTTGCCTCAGGGTATGGTTTTAGCTCCTTGGTTGAATGTAAGTTGGTTGTAGATGCTTGGATTGATTTCTGGCATTTCTAGTCTGTTCCATCTGTTTCTTACCAGTACCAGGCTGTTTTGATGAACTGCCTTGTAGTATGTCTTGAAATATGGAATTGTGATGCCTCCGGCTTTGTTTTTGTTGTATAAGATTACTTTAGCTATTTGGGGTCTCCTGTGTTTCCAAATGAATTTCAGCATCATTTTTTCTAGATCTGAAGAATGGATTGGAAGAATAGACATTTAGTGATATTGATTCTTCCAATCCATGAACATGGAAGTTTTTGAAAATTTTTGGCTTCTCTTTTGATTTCTTCTATGACACACTGTTCATTCAGGAGCATGTTCTTCATTCTCCATGTCTTTGCATATGATGTAGGGATTCTTGAGTTGTTGATTTTCAGCTTCATTGCATTGTGGTCTGAGAAGATGCCTGGTATGATTTTAGTTTTTTTGAATTTGCTGAGACTAGTTTTATGTCCTAGCATGTGGTCAATCCTAGAGAAAGTTCAATGTACCAGAGAGAAAAATGTGTATTCTGTGGCTGTAGGGTGGAAGGTTCTCTAGGTATTTGCTAAGTCTGTTTGGTCTGTGGTGTCGATTAACTCTGTTGTTTCCTTGTCTTCTTCATCTGTCCATTGCTGAAAGTGGGATATTAAAGTCTCCCATTACTATTATATTTGAGTCTATATCGCTATTTAAATCTCCCAATATTTCTTTTAAACAGCCAAATGCCCTGTAGTTAGGTGCTTATACATTTACAATAGTCACATCTTCCTATTGAACTGATCCTGTAATCATTATATAATATCCTTCATTGTCTCTTTTAATAGTTTTTGTGTTGAAGTCTATTTTGTCTGATAATAAGATGGCCACACCATCTCTTTTTTGGTTTCTGTTAGCATGAATTCTCTTTTTCCATCCCCTCACTTTTAGTCTGCATGCATCTTTGTTGGTAAGATGTGTTTCTTGTAGGAACCAAATAGATGAGTTTTCTTTTTTAATCCATTCAGAAAGTCTGTGTCTTTTAACTGAGGAATTGAGACCATTTACATTCAGTGTGACTATTGTTAAGTACCAACTTTTCCCTGCCATGTTTCTGTAAATTGTTCTGTTTATGTGTTTTGGATTTCATTTATACTTTAGCTGGGTCATTTTATGAGTTTATCTACTTTTGTGGTGTTCCTGTTTCTGTGTTTCTGTGTAGGACATCCTAGAGCATATTATGTGAGTCTGGGTTAGTAGTTACAAATTCTTTGAATTTCTGTTTGTTGTAGAAGATCCTTATTTCTCTTTCATTCATAAATGAGAGTTTTGCAAGTTACAGCAATCTGGGTTGACAGGTTTTTTCTCTTAGGAC